CACAGTGGGGAGTGTGCTTCTCCCTCTCCCTCTGCCCCTCCCCCTGCTCATGCTCTCCATCTCTCTCTGAAATAAATAAAATCTTAAAAAAAAAAAGAGGGGGGGAGAGAGAGAGAGAGAGAGAGAGGCAGAGGGAGAGACAGAATCTTAAGTGGACTCCATGCCTAGCATGGAGCCCAACACGGGGCTCTCAATCTCACAACCATGAGATCATGACCTGAGTGGAAATCAAGAGTCAGACGCTTCACCGACTGAGCCACCCAGGCGCCCCAGCAGTGTTATTCTTGATAGTCAGAACATGGAAACCCATCACCTGATGACTGGACACACAATGTGGCGTATCCAAATGGAACGTGATTCAGCCATCGAAAGGAAGGAAGTGCCAATTCACACTACGACACAGATGAGCCTTGAAAACCTTATGCGAAGCGCAAGAGGCAAGTCACAGCAGTCAAGTATCACATGATTCCACTCACAAAGTCTAGAACAAGGAAAGCCATAGAGACAGAAAGTGTTAGTTGCTAGGGCCAGCAAGGGAGATGAGAGTCAAAGATTCGGGTTTTTTGGGGGGAATGACAAAAATGTCCTAAAATGGACTGCATGGATCTATGAATACGCTAAAACCCATCAGACTATATACTTTAAATGAGTGAATGGTATGGTCTGTGAGTTATATCTCAATAAGCCTGTTTTTCAAGCTTAAGGGGTGGAGGATGAGGAGCCAGGGTACTGGAGGTTGATTCACAAAGCTGTTTCCTTTCGGGTAAAACCAATGGGCAAAGTGTGCATTCGCTGCCTGCATCCACAAGGTGAGGAAGGAGCTCCCTTCCTAGATGCATTTCATACAATCAGACGGCTAGCTGGGACCCGACAGGTGAGCATGGGCCAATGGGCGCCTGTCACAGCTGAAGGATCCCAGGGGCATGAGCTCTCTCTTCACTGCAGAAATTGCCAGGCTCCGATGACTCTGGTGTCCTCACTACTCAGAGTTCATCTTGCCTTGGCCAACGGCCCCCTCCTAAGCAGGGCTTCTCTCATGCCAGTGAAATCTGATCTTATTGCCCTCACCCCTGGCCTGCAGGATAAAGTCCAAGCTCCACAGCCTGGCAAGAAAAAGCCCTCTCTCTCCAACCCGTTCATCCTGCAGTTCCCCAGCCCTCAGAGGCATCCCCACATGCACCCGACAGGCAGCACCATCTGCCTCATGAACCTTCCCGGTGTCCTGCTTCGAAATGCACCCCCCCCCCCCCGTCCCGGAGCCATTTGCTCCCTCCTCTGACCCACCAGGGCATCCTGCACTGAGCCAGTACCGACAATGCTCCTTCCCTTCACAAACACACAGGCACAATTCCTACGTAGCAGGGATCATGTGCGGCAATGTGGATCCCCGGTGAGCTTGATGAGGATGTGACCCCTGCCCCCACGCAGCTAACCCCCAGATGGACAGACAGACAGAAGCAACCGCTACAGCATCGTGCACTTCCCAACAGTGGAAAGGAAAAGCAGCATGTTATGAGGGCCTAGGATGGTGGGTGTATCCTTAGAGAGATCACCACGGAGGCCTGCCTGAGGGAGGGGCACCTGAGCTGAGATCTGGGGGTGAAGATCTCCCCAAGCACGAGGACAGCTGGGGCAAAGGCACTGAGGTGGGCAAGAGAGCAGAGCCTGAAGGACAGGTGGGCCAAGGTGAGGCTGTGGGGGGAGGCCACGGCCAGATCACACAGGTCTCAGAGGCCTGGTTCAAGACTGAATGAAGTCTTTGTTATCACTGCAAAGAGAAGGCACAGAATGGTCTGATGCCAGGACATGCAGTGATCAGGTCTGCGTTTGCCCTAACTCATCACTCGGGGCTGTGGGGGCAGTTCCCGGTTTCCTCATCGGCCTCCCCTCCGGACCTAGTGTTTGTGGAACATTTAACAATCTTCCAACTAATCAAGATAGGGGAAGAGGGGTCAGTTTAGACTCAAACCCCCTTCTTCCAAGCTCCTTCAGGGAAAGGCCCAGGAAGATCCTCGCATGCCCCATAGAGCACAATCACTGTAGCCCCTCTGGGCGATTCTGAGACTGGAAGGGGCAGCAGAAGGAGGACTGCCCCTGGCCACTCCACACAGGTTACCCTGGGTGCCACAGTGAGAAGGGTCTCCTTGCTCCCCTGGGGAAACAGGTCGAGAGGCCAGAGTAACCCTGCACATGGGGACAGGGACCCTCCCAACACCCCAGGTCCACTCGCCCCCAGGGGCAGGGCCCCCCAGGTCTGTTCAGTGATAGACAACTCTCGGACAGAGCCACGGCAGCACCAGGCTGCTGGCTCTACATGAACCCTGGTGCAGAAAAACAACTGAATCATCCTGATGATTCTCCAAGCAAAGCTCTCTTGGGGCCAATATTTAAAAAAAAAGAAAAAAAAAAGGCTTGGGGGGGGTGGTTTCTATGGCACCAGCTTTAGTGATCTGCCATGAACCCCAGGCCTACACCCTCCAACCTGTCCTCAAAGGCAGCTAGGAAAAAGGCATAACCTCTCAGCTCGGAGAATTCCTTTCCATCCCAGGCTAGAGCTTCATGGAAGCATCCCAGGGACAGAATGCTTTAGGGCTGTCGGGAAGACCTCAGAGACACCTTTTCCTCAGCTCACTTCTCCTAGGACCTGAGTACAGCATCCGGAGAAGGCCCTTCAAGATGAGCCCCCTCTGGGCCAAACCATCTTCCTCTGTTTGCTTATTCACAACAAATGGCAGAAAAGCCAGCTTCGCAAACCCAAGCCCCAGGCTCAGATTCCCTTCTACTGACGCTGTGCTCCCTACCCACCCAAGCCAACGTCTCCTTGTTAAAGTCTTGCATGAATATTAAAACAAGAAACTGAAAATAAGTGGCGTGACCAAGGTCAAGTGCCAGTGTATCTGGTCCGGCTCCGAACCGTACAGCAGAGCGGGTGACCAGGTCAGAGCTGAGAGTGGAGGAGGAAGGCCCGAGTGTAGCCGAGCAGGCCTCTTCCCCTGGCCCTCACCCGGTGTCCCTCAGTACTTCTCTTCGCCAGCCCCCGCCTGTCTCCTCTCTTCCTGGGGCCTCTGGAAAGCTCAGCCTGTCACCCTTTTCCCCAAAGGATTGTTCTCTTCACAAAGGAGGAAACGTCCCGGCCTTATCAGATATCCGGCTTCATGCTCGAGCACAGAGTGCAGTGAAAATTTATCCCAAAAATACCAAGGCTGGAAGGTTACACTGAGGTCACCTCAGTCATCTGAGGGCCGGCTGAATGTGCACACCTCCTGGCAGGGACAGACTCCAGGGACCCAGTCAAGACTTCCCTGGGAAATGCACGTGGTGGCTGAAACCCTGAAGCCACACGTCCCCAGATCCCCCCCTGCCATGTTCTCTCACCGTAACCCTGTCTTCTACCAAGACCGGAACACGGGGACCCAGTTCTCCTTCACTGTTCAGCCACCACCTGCCCTGGGCTGTGGGCGGTGTGTGTGTTTATGGGAAGTGAGGGATGGGAGCCCCCCCCAGGGCACTGAGGCTGGCTGGGGGCTACCACTCTTGAGGCAGGAGAACAGCAGAAACACAGTAATGCGGGCAGCGCTGAAGTCCTAGCAGCAGGAGCAGAGTGTCTGCACACTCAGCAAACATTAGGAACCTCTACGTACACGGACATTTACTGCTCTCAGCAACCTCACCGTCCTAAGGACTACAGGAACTATCAACATCCCCATTTCACAGAAGAGAAAACTAAGGCTCACGGAGGTCACACGACTGAAGCGGCCTTGACCTTCTACTGAGCACTGCAAGAAGCACTTCACAGGCATGGCGTCGTGTGCGCTGACCAACGTTGTATGGGGTTTCCTGGTCCTGATACCATTTTACAAATAAGAAAATGGAGTCTCAGCGAGGTCACAGAGGAGCCTGAACGCGCCTTTCGCAAGGCCTCCAGCCCTACAAAAGCACAAAAGACTTCGGGCCACAGGCAAGGCAAAGGCCCTGGAGGACACGACATGGGGAGAGCACCCCCACCCCGGGCAGGGGGGTCACCAGCAGGGCCATGAGCAGGCCACAGCTGCTTCTGGGCTACTGTGCACAAGGGAAGTGGGGCTCCGTGGCAGAGCTAGCCAAGCAGGGGGGAAGAGCCGTGGGCAGGCAAGCAAGGGAGGCTGAGGTCACAACCCCGGACACATGGGGGAAAGAAAATGCTGTCAGCGGGAGGGCTACTGTGTGGCCAAGGAGGCTAAGGAGAGTCCCCTTTGTGAGGATGCAGGACAGGAGGTCAAATCTCCAATTATCACACGCTGAAAAGCGCGCTCAAGCATCCCCTCCCACCAGGGAGGCCCTCCATGTTGGCTACATTTTCACTGATAATATGACTTTGTTTTTCATGGGGATGAATCACGTTCTTGTCTACAACACAGAAAACACAGGGCAAGTCAGTGGGGGCAAAGGCAGCACCTCCCAAAGTGGCGGGTGGGTCACTGCGGGGTCAAGCCCGTGGGGTGGGGCCAGTGGGGGATGGGGCAGGGATGTGGCAACAGCCAAGCCGACTCAGTCCGTGCTCAGAGACAAGCACACGGGGGTCCAAGCAATGAGCTCAGAGAGGGGTTCTCCACCAAGGCAGGACTCAGGGAGCTGGTAAGGCTGTTCTACTTCAATGGCCCCCAGGGGACCCTCCTCAACACAAGACAGGAGGGTCCCAGCCCCGGTGCCAACTTGGAACCAGTGACCGTGAGTGTGTGTGCTGCAAGTGTGGAGGCCGTATCTGGACTCGGCAGCACTCTGATCAGCAGAGCACGTCTATACAGGCTGGGAGCAGCGGGCCTGCCCACCACGCCCTGGCTGGATCCCATTTGACACCCGAGGAGACTGAGGCCCTGGCGGGGAAGTGCCGACCCACAAACAAGCCCAGGTCTTGGGAGCAGCACAACCACGACCCCGGACTACACGGCAAGACAGCTGCTACAGCTCTTGAAACATGCAGGGCCATTCTTGGGCCCTCCCTCCTCACCGTCCTCGCTCACCTGGAACCTGTGCACCAGCTCCAGGGACCGGCTGTCGTTCTGGTCGGCTTCGAGGATGACATCGGTCAGCTTGTGGATGATGACGTCCAGCGGGCCCTGCTCCTCAATCGGCCGGCTGAGGTTCAGCTGCCAGGGCGGTGGCGGCGGTGGCGGGGGGGAGAGAAAGAACAACTTCAGCACCGGAGCCCACTGCCCCGCTGTCTCCCCCATCCCACCCCTGCACGTCCCTGCAACACTGGGACAGGAGGCAGGAGGGAGGTTGGCGCTCATGGGAAATACAAACGGGACGAAGGGCACAAACCCACTGAGATTCCAGAACGCCTCCAGGACAGGCCCTGAGTCTGCATTTCTGTCCCCGAGCCCCATGCTACCCCCGGATACTGAAGACGCACACGTGGAACCAAGGCAACTACCAGTTAGGCGAGCGTCACCGTGAAATCACTGTATGGAGAAAACATTTACTGGACATGCGCCATCTGATCAATGACCTCGGTTTTTCAGGTCGGGAAACCAGGGCTCTGCAAGTTGAAGCCAAATGACTGAAGTCACACGGCCAGGTCTAAACTGAGACCTAGGCAGCTACTCTTCCCACGAAATGACACAGTCTCAGCAGAGCTGTGATCTTCACGCACCTGAGAGGCCCGGCTCTGAGCGACGGGCAGCTTGCACTTCACACTGAAATCAGGGCTGATCACAGCCACCGGGAGGGAATGCGGGGCGGCCTGGGCCCCACCAGGCCCTGCTGGCCCTGCTCCACGGGTGGCTCTGTTTATTTTTTCAAGAACACGGAGGTTAAGAAGATCGCGTCCCAAGGGAGCCAGGGCTGCCCAGCTGACATACCGTCGGCATCACCTGACCCCAAGACAGGAGCACCTGCAACAGCCGGGCAGCCCAACACCATGCTTCCTGACCCGCCAGATGTCTGCCGACCGGCACATGGCCGCCACCACCTGCTAGGCCAGTCCCCCGGAGGCAGCGGCGCCAGCCCAGCACCTGGCTGACCCCCCGGACGGCCTCAGGAGAGGCCCGAGAGAGCCACCAGCCCCACCCCTACGTGCATCCCCGCGTAAGTGGGGCTCCCTCCAGGATTCCAGGCTGTTTCCAAGTTGTTAGTAAAGAAATCACAAAGACAGCTACGAATGTCCACTCTGGGTAGGCATCACGCTAGAAGCTAAGTTTTTATTTTCCAACCACATGATGCGAAGTGATTTTACAAATGAGGAGGGTGGGGAATGCGGACTTCTGGAACCCCCGCCTCCCCCCCAGATCTAACAGTGACAAAGTGGCGGCGCTCGGATGCAGATCTGAAGCTGGGCTTGCCATCCAGTGCTCCCGCCCTTCTGGGCCCTGCGAGGCGGCGCTCTGGAGCCACGACCACCTGGCCACCCTGTCCTCTGGCTTCTGGCCGCGCGGACAATGGAGACACACGGGAAGATGGGAGAGAGGGGGAAAGAGCCATCGGGGTGTCTGTTCCCACCAACCTCACACCCCCGCCATCAGGCAAGCAGCCCCTCTCCCAAGGCCTCCGCTATTTCAGGGCTCCCGTACCACCTCCACTCCCCCACCCCCCGCCGACCCCTCGGGCCTGGGGTGGTGACAGCTCGCCACGCTGTGGGGGCTGTACCACATCTCGCTGGCTGCTTTGACCCAGCCCACACCTTGTCATCCTCTCTTAGTTAAACTCTTGTCTAGTCAAACCTTCCGAAAGTACCAGCTCTTTCCAGGTGGTATCCTTAACTCCTTTTTTTTTGCCTGCCAGAAAAGGTGTTAAGGGATTTCCCCTATTAAAAACAAACAAACAAACAAAAAATCCCACGGACCTCACAATAATACTGAAGGAGCTTCTTTCTTCCCACCCCATGGTGACTAGCCTGTATATAACCCAAAACAAAAGCCAGACTAGCTGAGAAGCTGGCCATTCCTTCTAGGGCTCCTGGATGGGGAAGCGAAGCAGCACTCGCCGTCCTCACAGCAAGCCCCGGAGCAGAGGGTGACATTCCCACTGTCACAGACCAGGACACCACGAGCCCAGAGAAGAGAAGTCACCGGGCAAGGCCTTGTGGTTGGGAAGCGGCCCAGCTGGGGCCTGGATGGAGGCCGAACAGCAACACCTGCGGGCTGAGCCTGCAGCCGAGCTGCCAGGTGTCCTGGGCCTGTGCACCAGCCTGGCTCCTCAGCCCCCCTGGGCCTCTGTTTCCCCTTCGAGAGACACAGGAACTTGTGAGGACCCTTCTGGGTCTGCCTGTGGGTTCGGTATTACGTTCCCATCCAAACCCACTTTCCAGGAAAACAAAACAAGAAACAGAATTTGAAGGAAGGGGAGCAAAGCCAGTGGGAAGTGGTAACCTGGGCAAAGAAGAGCAAATTCTCAAAAGATTCCACAGACACAAACCCACTTTGGCTGTAACCTGTGGCGCCACCGTGACGGGAACCACAAACAAGAGGCCCATCTTTTCAGACTGAGGCAGCTAGGAACGGCAGAGAACCGGGTCACACGCGTGAAGCTCCATCCCCATCAGCACGCACATCTCCAGAGAGAAGCTGCTGGGTCTCCTGTGCAGCATGAGGAGACAGAAACATGTCCCAGTGGGCGTGGGGAAAGGGGATGCCCCTGGCTCGTCCCAGCCTGGCACCAGCCTCAGGCCTACAGACCTGACAAGCACGGGCTGTTTGGAAAACAAGCTCTCCGCATTCCCAGCCGCTCCACTGAAGGTAAACAGTTGAGTTCTGGAAGCTGGCCACCTCCCTTTGTATATTTTCCAAGCATTTTTATGCCAGTAAAACCCTTTCATGAGAACAGCAACTTGGGACACACATCAGGACTGGTCTGGTCCTGGCTTGGCTCTCACTGCAGCATCTTTGCTGAGACCTGACTGGAGTTGCTGGTGGCTCCAGAAGGCTCTCCAGCATGGCTTCTCCTCAAGTGGCCAGATAAGCCACATTCGCCCTGAAGGGTCTATCCTCCTGCAAAGACCTCAGGGGGACTTCAGTCTCTCCCTGCTGGCTGGGAAGGAGAAGGTGGGCCCTCTGGGGCTGCCACCCAGGAGGGGAGCTCAGGCAGGGTCTAGGCACACTGTGGGAGAGTAGGCCGGCTCCCAAGAACCCAGGACACTGCAGAGGAGGGGACCCTGGTGGGCCAGACTTCATTTCGCAGACGGGGTGGGGTGGGGAGGGGGGCTCGGACGGAAGGGACCTCGTTTCAACTGTCATTTTGTTTTTCTGACCACACTCCGCCTCCAGAGGAAAGGGAACTTTCCCAGGGGCTTGTTCCACTCTGCGGAAGGAATCTGATCTGTCCCTCAGCCAGTAACAAGGATGTCTCAATGAAAGGGCCGTCCACTGCGGCCAGAGGAGGCCTATGGGTGCCATGCTTCCAAGTCACGCCATCCTGCGAGGCCAAGGCTGGATGCTGTTCTGCACAGAGCTCAGGGCTCAGGATTCGGAGGAAACAAGGGCCCACTGTTTCCCTCAGCAACTACCACAGGAGGCTGACTGGAGGTGGGGGGAGTGCCGGGGGGGCTGGGACAAAGGCCTGCAACCCCCAGTGGCCGGAATGTCACCTCTGACTTCCGCAGCAAGCAACCCAATCATGCCCAGCCCAGGATCCCAGGTGAGCTAGTCTCTGACTATCCCCACCACCCCACCACCGGGTCGGGGGAGGAAGATGGGCATGGCAGACACCTGGAAACCCCATCGCAGCTCAGCTGCCCTGGGCTGGGCAGGTGATGTTAATTGCTCTGTGCCTCAATTTCCCCATCCATAAAATCAGGATGTTCCTATTCCTGACACCTTACTGGGCCATTTCGGTGGATGAGAACATTGCATTTACAGATGTGACACAGGGTTGATGAACAGCAGATGCAGTGGTAACACAGCCCTGAGTGCTTAGATAGCCTCCCACCACTAGGCTTGCTCATTCATTCATTCAACAAGCGTTCTCTGGGCACCTCCTGGGTGCCAGGCACAGACAGCCCCCGTGCTCCCTTCTGGGGGCTCTCCATCAGTAACAGGAGTGTCCCGGCGCACTGCGGAAGCAGACCCAAAGTGAACACTGTAGACCAACTAGAAGGGACATTCCACCAAGCGGGGGGATTCTTTCCTGCTAAGGGGGCTAAAAACAGCCTTCTGGAGAAGGAGGGAGAGGGGAAAACAGGGGAAGGAAGGTGTAATGCAGGCAGTAGGGGTGGCTGCAAAAATCACCTGCGTTCAATTCTCTACTTGTACTTGACAACTGCAGATGCCTCGGGGGCCACGGGCTGCCACCTCTGCAGAAAGAACTTGTCCAACAGCACTCACCCCGGACTGGCCCCCTGGGGGGGGGGAGATCTAGGACCACCCCTCTCTCACGCTGCATCTACAGGCTAGAAACGGGATCCTAGAGGACCAGGCACCTCCCACGGCCAGAGTTGTGCTATGGTGTGAACACCTAATAAATCTTGAGTGTGTTAAGGCAAAATTTGGAGGTTGTGGGCATGAGCAGTTAGCCTACCCTGAGACGGTCCCCAAGGAGAGAGTGTGTATGGAGTAGAGGGAGGAGGAAGACACCCCAACAGAGGGTTCCAGACTGCCCCAAACTTCCACACGTGCTTCCTGACAGGATCCAGAAGCAGGAAGATATGGAAAAAGTGTAAAGCCATCTCTGGAGCTCATCGGGGAGGCGGGGGACCTGGGAGAACGGGCTCCCACCCCATGCTGGGGCTGCTCATCCTGTCTGGATGCAAGATGCAAGGTGCTCTGTGACCGTAGAAGTGTGGGCCCCTGAAAACAACCTATACCTCTCTGACCGGCCAGACAGCCTGCAAGTGGGGGCTGAGCAGGAGTCAGCTAGGCTTAAGGACCATCCTCCTGGAACCCCAGCCTCAAGGCAAGAAGACCCCTTGTCCTATGGCTACGGTGCAGCTCTTGCACACTCACCCTGAGCCAGGCCCTGTCCTTTCCCCCCCAAAGATTTATTTATTTTAGAGCAAGAGTGCAAGGCAGGAGGGGCAGAGGGAGAGGGAGAATCTCAAGCAGACTCCCCGCTGAGCGTGGAGCCTGAGCAGGCCCTGTTCTAAGCACTTCACGCACACTAGCTCATATAGTTCTTCCAACAGCCTGAGATCGAGACCCACGATAGGCACAGAGGTTAAATAACACACCGACGTCTCACAGCTCACACAGCCAACTCTTCACCATTCCCAGGCCACAGCACGGCTGTGAAATCAGCCCGTGGGGACTCCCTGGCTGCAGACATGGTGTCCTGTTCTAATGAGGACAGCCTGGTGGGCCTCCAGATGGGAGCTGGTCACCAGGAAGACCAAGCCACCATCAGAGGTGGGGAACTTTCAACCCCATCTCCTGTCCTCCAGCAAGGGGAGAGGGACTGGAAAACTGGGTTAATGCTTGATCATGCCAGCACGATGAAGACTCCATAAAAATCCCAAAGGTGCAGGGCTCGGGGAGGTGCTGAAGAGTAGTGCACTCCACTCTTCTCCAGGGAGCTTGGCATCCCTTCCATCTGGATGTTCAACTGGATCCTTCATCACATCCTTTTATAGTAAGCCAGCAAACAGGAAGTAAATTGTTCCTGAGTTCTCTGAGCCGCTCTAGCAAATTAATCAAACCCGAGAAGGGGCTCCTAGGACCCTCCGATTGAGAGCCAACTGGCTGGTCAGGAGCACGGGTGACAAGCTGGACTTGAGAGTGGCAACTGAATGGGGGAGCTGTCTTGTGGGACCGAGCCCTTTCCCTTGGGATCTGATACTACCTCCAGGCAGACGCGGTCAGAACTGGGTTACAGCCCAGGACACCCAACTAGGGTTACAGTCCTGCTCAGTCTGGGGGGGAAACTCCCACACAGCTGGTGTTAGAAGTGTTCTGTGTGTAGTAAGTGTGACGGTAAAGGACAAAGGCAGGAGGTGCATTTTTCCTACTCAATAGTGCACTCCATAAATGTCAGCAATTATCTTTTCCTATTCTTACGATTCACGTTATTAGTGACCAGTGGAAATTTCCCTGCCTTTCTCTCAAGCAGGGCTCAGTACAAACCAGAATTTGAATTTTGCAAAGCTAGTTCACTTGTACTGACTCACATAAGACTCCTCAATGTGTCTACTGCCACGATGAAATTTACTGTTATTGTTAATAATGATTAACATTTATAGAGTTATTACTTTGGGCCACACACTATGCTCACAGGAGCTTACTGCACGAGGTACAGCTAAGAACACTGAGTCACGGACAGGTTAAGTCAGGGGCCCGGAGTCACAGAGTCACAGGTGCCTGGGACCCGGGTCTCCCTCCTGCCCAAGCCAGACAATTAACCTCTAAACCAAAAGGTGTCCTGGGTGCCTGGCACTTTCCTTCCATCCCCTTCTCCCCTAATTCACTCCTGCAGAGTGGTATGTTTTCAGCAGGGACTTCAGATGGAAGTTACTAGATGAAAAGTTTGGTCTCAACCAGGTTCCAGACAAAACAGCCTGGATGAAAGGCGAGTGGGCGCCAGTTGGCTTGATTCCTCTGTGCTCGCCACAGATCTGGGCATCTGGGACAGAACTACCACATATCCGACGTTTAAAGCCTTGCCATGCAGGAGCAGGTCCCTGCTGAAGTCGGGTCTGGTGCCTCATGATCAGACTTCAAAAGAGAGCCTGGCCTTGGAGGATGCAGCACCAGCCGGGTCTTTTCAGCAGGGTTGGTTCCAAAAGACAACTTGGGGACAGCGGACTGAAGGCTTTTCCCTGGCAAGAGCAACTCTCACTCCCCAAGGAGCTCAAAGTGGCCCTCAGAGAGGTCAGAAGCTGGAGGTCACCTGCGGCTGACCACCAAGATCGGCAGGCTGGGCCGAGGACAGTGACAGTCACTGCAGGAGACCCTGGCCCAGGATGGGGAGCAAGACTGTCGCCAACACTCCCTGGCCCAATTCCCCAATTTCTCAGTAACCGGTTTCCAACTACTGGGTAATCAAAAACAGCAATCTGGTTAAAGCCAACGAGTGAATAACCTTTTTCCCCCAGAAGATGAGGGGCCAAGTCCACAAAATGGTATCATGACAAATGGACCTTAGAGTTCCAAAGGTCTGGGCATTTGTAGGCTGGCCTTATTTCTTTCTCTTTTTTTTTTTTTTTTTTTTAAGATTTTATTTATTTATTTGTCAGAGAGAGAAAGCGCAGAAGCATGGCAGGCAGAGGGAGAAGCAGGCTCCCAACTGAGCAGGGAGCCTGATGCAGGACCCAATCCCAGGACCCTGGAATCACGACCCAAGCCAAAGGCAGATGCTTAACCAACTGGGCCACCCAGGTGTCCCAAGCTGACTTTATTTCAAAGAGCCAAAAAACTTACACCCACTCAGCAAGCATGGCTCCTTGAGGAAAGGGCTGACCCCCAGGTTCTTAGAAGCTAAAAAAACCCTGCCCTAGTCCAGCGCTGGGGAGCCAGGTTCAAGAGTAGACTGAAAAGATAAACACAATCGTGCCCAATAAGCCAACTCCTAGGATGCTGGCCTAAGAAAAAAAATCAACAGGTAAAAAATCACTCCTGGCCCAGGGAGATTCACTGAGGCCCCATCGACAAAAGGCACGGGACACAGAATACATGTCCCCAAGAGGGGCCCTGGCTAGGCAACAACCGACACACCCACACCAGAAGATGCTAAAGAATTACTGGACGGAGGAGGCCTAGTGGAGACAAGCGTGGGTGGGTGCCCCAACCACGTGAACCCACACTGCTGTGGCCAAAGCTGGAAAGGAAACACAAACCTGAACGTGAGAGGATCTTGGGCACAGAGGAGTCACTGTGGGTATAGCAGCCCATCTGGACACGGCAGGATGCTTTTCCTGGTTGCCCTGCGACTGGGCGCGGTCACGTGACTGGTTCCGGCCAATGAGCTGTGAGCCGGTGACACTGACACACACACACACACACACACACACACACACACACACACACACACACACACACACACACACACACACACACACCCAAGCCTCCTGGCACAGCGTTTACCTGCAAGTGCCAGCGTCTCCCGAACGCTGTCTACGCTGGTGCAGGATGGGCAGCGTTCAAGGTGGGGCCTTGGATCTCTGAGCAATTATGAACAGAGGCCCCAGCAGGCCGCCCCAGACACGCGACATGAATGAAACACAACAACCCCCTCTTAGGCTGCGAAGATTTGGGGTTGTTTAACACAGCATGCCCTACTCCTAACTGTGCGCCCCACAGGCTTCTCTTTTCCCATTTGTTCAAACAAAAGGATAATGGAAGGGAAAGGGAAGGGGAGCAAAGTTAATGAAAGCAAATGGTAACTGACAGGTAACTTACCGGGTTGAAACTGGGCTTTTGTTGGGTTTTTTTTTTAAGTTATAATTCAGTATTTGGATGAAACAGGACAACAGGGATTTCTCCTGTAAGGTGGAAGACTGAATGTCCAATCCCCTCGGATCGGAAGGCTGAAACCTCGAATGGATGAAGTGGCTGCTCTCCAGCACGCCCCAGAAGAGCCCCGAAATCTGCCCGAAGAGTCCCTTAACCCTCTGTGGCTCAGCTAAATGGGCTGCTTCCAACGTGCTATGGTTCAGTGTAACTGCTGGCAGGAGTCAGGGCAGTGGAAACCAAACCCTCCCACTAGGTGCCAGGCACCAGCCTGGTCCTGCCCTGAGGGGAAAACACAAACCACAGGCTGGCGGAAAAGAAAGAAAACATCATGAAAAGGGCTGGCAGATCTGGACCCATGGGAAGAGTCAAAGTTCATGTTAACAAAGGCTGACTGCAGAGAGAGTTGGGATGGGGGGGTACCCCCACTTAATTCCCTGTCTCCACGCCAGAGGAGGAAACCCAGAGTCCTGCCCTTAGCACACCCTGCTTCCCTGCGGGCCAATTCTCTTCCTGAGCTCCCACAAGCACAGAGGCAGCAGAAGGGTGCAAAGGGCAGGGTAGAGTCTCCAGCCCAGGGAGGGCACTACCCTCACCTCCCTCAGCCTGCTTCCTCACCTGCAGTGAGGGTGAAGAGCCATCCTTCCTAAAATCATCACCTGCACGCAACGAGGGGGCAGGCACCGGCTCCCTGTGTGAACGGAGCCGCACACACAGCACGGATGTCAGCAGTTAGGATTTTCCACCTTAGGTGAGGCTCAATCTTCTCTAGCTTCAAGTTAAGCCTCTCTCTACCAGCACGCTCCTAATAATCACCACCACCAGAACCCTAAGCATATCCCAGGTGCTGTGCTAAGCACATCCCATATCCATTTCACCTAAAGATGTCCCCAGGAAGCAGGGGAGGCTGTTACCACTAGACGGATGAGGTGAGGAACATTCTAGGGGACAACACAACCTGACAGAGGCTGTATAAGCAGTAAGCCAGTGGGGGAGACAGGTCTCTGCCCCCCAGTCCCTGTGGCTCCAGGACAGGTGTGTTCCTAAGCCCTCTGGTTTCCTTAGGAAATGGAGGTGCCAGAGAGACCTCTTTCCTCGAGGTGACAGCAGGGGGCTGGGGTGGCTGCAGCGTGTCTAAGACAAGGTCTGCGGGGCTGCTCCCACCCACCAGGACTGGAGGCAGGACTGTCCACTTGCGGTCACGGCAGGCACAGGGTTCCCAGCACGGTCTTGCCCACAGCTCCAACAAGGGCAAGATAAATATGGGAGTTCATATATGAAAACAGTGGCATTTGAAAACAGGGTATAAAAGATGGATTATTAACAAATGTCAGTGGGATAATTTAATATCCATCTGAAAATACATATACATGTGTGTATATATACATATATATATACGTATATATACATATATATACACACACACACACACAGAGAGAGAGAGAGAGAGATGCACATCCTCCTGTCTTCTACCAAATAAATTCTAGGTGGAGCAAAGACGTGATGATAAAAATTGAAAACAGAAATACCTGGAGGAACCACGAGTTAATTTAAAAAAATAATTTGGGGGCGCCTGGGTGGCTCAGTTGGTTAAGCGCCTGCCTTCGGCTCGGGTCATGATCCCGGAGTCCCAGGATCGCGTCCCACATCGGGCTCCCTGCTTGACGGGGAGTCTGCTTCTCCCTCTGACCCTCTTCCCTCTCGTGCTCTCTATCTCTCATTCTCTCTCTCTCTCAAATAAATAAATAAATAAATCTTTAAAGAAATAAATAAATAAATAAAATAAAAATAAAAAAATAATTTGGGGCGTGAAGAATCAAAAAAAGAAAAAAAAGGAAACATAATATATTGACTCGTAGAAAAGTAGAGATTGCCTGTGTGGCAAATCCACCTCAAGTCAAGTAAAAGGGGCAACACAGTGAGGCTGTTAAGCAGGTGTCGGCAGCACGCCGCAGTGCCTTCACTCCTGCCAGGCAGGGGTGCTGGCCTCAGGCCCCTTGGCTCAGGAGCGTCCGCGGAGCTGACAGTGGCATGTTGTGTTGGCAGCGAGCAGGACGGAAAAATCCAGAATCCAGACCCTTGACAAGCTCAACGGTGCCTCCACTATTTTCATATGTTAACCGCCACACTTACACTTACTTTGCCCACTTCGGATTCTCCGTTAATTTGTGTGGTCTCGCACCAATACCGCAATGGTCTGGCTTTCTTCTTTGTTCCCCCCACACACATTATTTTAATTACAGTAGCTATATGATATGGTTCCATACCTAGAAAAGCTAGTCCCCCTTATTATTCTGATTTTCTCAGAATTTTCCCAAGAGTCACGCTCATTTATTTTTTTCTACATGCCTTCTAGAATAGAAGGGGGCAAGTTACGTTGACGGGCAATTTAGGGGAAACTCGTGGTTTGATGTCGAGTCTTCCTACCGAGAAGAACACATGGCATGCTATATTTGCAGCTCACATCACAAATGTCTAGTTTTTTCATATCTAGTAAGCCCCAACAAATTGCTAAGAAGGAAACAACACCACAGAAATAAAAATGAACAAAAGAAATATTTAGACACGAGTATAGAAAAGTAAATAAAAACAGCTCCAAAGTGCATAAATGGGAGAAAATGCTAAACATCACACAGGAGACAAAAGCAAATTACAACTGCATTAAGATACCATGTTCTGCCCACCAGATTGGCTAAAAGTCTGAGAAACTGACAATACGCCCTGTTGACTGGGGTGTGGGGCAAAAGGGACTCTAACCCTAGGGAGGGGGGAGTGCAAATTTGAATCATCTCAACAGGAAGCAAGTTGGCAGTTATCGGTCTCAACTGTAAGTCACACACTCTCTGGTCAGCAGGTTCGATTCTAGGAACTCATCCCAACTGAAGTGCAAGGTCAGGCAATGTTACTGTATTTGCTATGGATGGCTGCATGGGCGGGGGGGGGGGGGGGGGCGGGGGGGATGGGAGGAGGAAGTGGAGGAGAGGGGAAGGAGGAAGGAGGAAGAGGAGGGAGGGAGAAGGAGACAAAAGTCCATCAGGGGGACGGACCTAGGTACCTGTAACACCACACAGCCATAAAAAAGAATGGGGAGCACCTTCTGTACTGAGAGTGAGAGATCTCCAAGAAGGTAGATCACCAAGTACAGAGCGTTACGTATGGGGAGAAGACTGACGTGCACACTGCTTGTACATGAGAGCGTATCTTAGGAAGGTCGCCAGAAGCGGGTCAAAGTGGCACTCTCCAGAGAGAAGAACCAACGGGCTCTACGGGGACGAGTGTGTGCTCCTTTTCATTTCCCACCAATGAGACGTATTACTCATACAATGTTTTAAATGACCAGGTGAGCAGTACATATAAAGACCATGTATTTGGAGTCAGACCTGAATCTAAATCCAGTCGATATGGAACAGATACTGAGCACCTACTGTGTGCCAGACATTGCTGTAAGCGCTTTACAGGAATTATCCCCACAACCACGTGGGAGGTAAGACAATTATTATTCCCACTATACAGATGAAGACCCCAAGGCTTAGGGAAGGTGAA